CCCCTCCCTGGGAGCTGGCAGCTCCCGCACCCCAGCCCCGCTGCCCGGCACACCCCGCTCCCGCGGGCCCTTCCCAGGCAGGCCGGCATGCCCGGGCGCAGGAGGGAGCCGCGGGGCTGCAGCCGGCCGGGCAGGTCCCCACAAGCCTTTCTGCCCGCTCGGGTCTGCGAAGCCGCCACCGGCGCCTCCTCTCCCTCTTTCAGTGGCGTGGGCCTGGCTTTCCTGTTCTCCTGGCTCCTCATCCTCCTGGTTTTCGCCACCTTCCTGGTTGGGGGCAACATCCAGACGTTGGTTTGCAGGAATTGGGTCAACCAGGAGATTTATAAGGTGGGTGGCCACGCATCCACCCACTACCCCACAAATCTCCGCTTGCGTGCACCGAAATGCCTCCAAATTCTCCGTGTCCTCCCCTTAAACCCATCCGGAAAAGCCCCATCCTAAACCAGAAGATTAAGTTTAGGATTAGGTCCTTGGATTTGCATCAGCAGCAGGGAATTGCCCTTGTGCTGTTAATTCACTTGAGGCGATGACGCTCCTACCTGCAGGACTTCTGTCCTCTAGTCCTCGGGGATCCCTGGAGTGCTCGGGGCTGGCGGCATGCTGTGACGGGGCTGGGAGCAAGGTTGGGAATGGGATCTGGGCTCATCTCACTGCACATGCAGGCAGGTCCCTGCACGGGGCTGTCCGCTGCTTTCCGGCCAGACGCTGCCCGGTGAGGTTCTGCCACGGGAATCATACAAATAAAGGCAAGATTAGCTCTGGCTGGGATGGGGTAGCCCAGGACATACCTGTGAGGGAAGAACATCCCCAAAATCATTGCTGGGAATGCCTACGCCTGACCCTGACCCTCTTTTTCCTCCTGTTTGGCCCAGTTCATCGACACCCCCGGGAATCTGCCTCCATCCATGAACCTCACCCGCCAGCTCAACCTCAGGAGGGATTCCAACCTCAGTGCCGCGTACCGGTGGGTGCTGCAGGAGCCCACCTCTGCCCCTATACATCCGAGGGCTAATTTGGGGTCATGCCACCCACTTCCCTTTGCCTTGCAGGGAGTGCAAAAGCGGCGCGGGGCTGTGGGAGGTGCTGCAGCTCGACAGGTCCTATGACCTGGATGAGCACCTAAAAACCCCCAAGGTGAGGAGGGCTGGCTCCAGCCAGAGTTTCTGGTAACGGTGTGAGGATGTACGAGCTTTACTGGGGTTAATGGGATGGAGATGCCCGGCCCCAACCCCACAGCATCCCCTACATCTCACCCCTGCAGTACACGGCTGATTTCCAAAAACGCCTGGGTGACTTCACGGCACGGCTGGGCGACGTGCGGCTCCTCCGCAGCGAGGGCAGGCAGGACCTGGAGACCTTCGCCCGCAGCGGCCTGGATGAGGTGGACTACGGGCGCTTCCAGGAGGAGGTGAGGGGATGCTCATGGGAAGCTGGTCCCCACTGGCTTCTAGGGCTGGATTTCGGGCAGCTGCCAACTCCATCTTCCCCCAGATGAAAAACCCCGTGGTGCAGACCAGCCTCCCCGGCTTGGCGAGGAGCCTCGAAGGGCTGCAGAAAATGCAGGTGCGTGGCGGGGCGGGCGGCAGGGGCTGCCTGCGTGCCCGTGGGGATGTCCTCACCCCAATGTCTCCCCGCAGAGGAACGGCACGGTGGCAGGGCGGCTGGCCGCTGAGGCCCAGGCCCTGTGGCAGATACAAAACTCCACGGTACAATCGCAGGAGGCTTTGGTGGTGAGTCCGTGCCGGGCTGGTGGCTCGCGGTGCTGCCGGCGTTTGCTCAGTGGTGTCCCTGTGAAAGGGGAAACGGGGTTTTTGTACCCTTCTCACCTCCCTGTCCCACAGGCAAAGCTGGGGGAAAGCGTCCAGTTCCTCTCTCGCTTGGCGCCGCACCTCCAGGTACTTGCACGGTTTCTTCCAGCTCCAAAAAATATGTGGTGCCTTATGGGTCCTGCCCGCCAGGGCCCCCCAAAAGCCAGTCACAGGGTGATGGGAGACCATCCAGGGAGGATCGGCCTCCTTTAGTGATTAGATTTGCTGCTGCAAATCAGAAATCCCCCTGCAGCACTCACAGCGTTTCAGTGTCCCCAGCAGAGCTGCCCCACGGCTTTTCATCTTACTCACTCCCTGCAAGGAGGTTTCTCTGCTCAGGGCAGCTCCCCCTTTCCCTGCCCTCTGGCAATCAGACCAAATTCGAAGCTCTGCACGTGCACGGCCCTGCACGTCCTGCTCCTGGCACCCCAGTCCTGCTGCTTGGTGCTCTAAAGATGCTCTGCCCTTCCCATGCTTCCCCAGGAGCGGGTGAAGACGACACTGGCCACCACGGCCTCAGTGGAAGCCCAGCTGCCTGTGCAAGCCCAGCAGATCCTCCGGCAGGTAAGCCAGGGCTTGATTAACCCTTGTAGGGCACAAAATTACCCACAGCCAGAAAGAAAGAGTGAGAATGGGGCGCTGAAAGAGGGCAAGTAGCCTCCAGCCCTCGTTCCCGTGCCCAACATCAGCCCAGAGGTGGTTGGAGCGGGGCTGGAGCTGGGCTGGGAAGCACGGCGCTTGCCCTCCATGCTGCCTTTCCTCTGCCCAGGAGATCGGCTGCTTCACGAGGAAGGAGCTGCGGTACTTTGCACAGTACCTGAACTGGGTCGGGCAGACGGTAGGTGCTGGGCTTCTCTGCAGGGGGATTCTTTGGGGTGGGGAGCCCCCGTGGATGCTGCATGCAAGCCCCTCGTCAAGCTGAGGCAGCAAAATGCATCCTCTCGATCCAGGAGTGGGTTTATGCCTTGTCTCTGCTCCTTGTTCCAGCTGAGGGAGGACGGGGCTTCGTCCCAGCCACTCGCCACGGCCCTGGACAACGGACGGGGGATCCTCTGCGACCGCATTGCTGACCCCTGGGTAAGGATCCCATCCCCATCATTACACAGTGCATAATCTCACCACTAACCAGCATGAATTTGGGGCAGCCATGGCTGCGAGCATTTTTTTCCCCCCCTCAGGACCAGCCACCTCAAGGCTTCCAAACCCCTCCAGAGCCTGGGGGCTGCCTCTCCCCACGCAGCTCAGGGGGAACCCCCATGCTCTCTGCTTGTAGAACGCTTTCTGGTTCAGCCTGGGCTGTTGCACCTTCTTTCTCATCCCCAACATCATTTTCGCCATCAGGCTCACCAAACACTTCCGCCCCATCCGCAACCGGCTCATGTAAGTGGCCAGCACAAGCTGGGCAGGAGGGCTGCCCGGGCTGGGAGGATGCAGGCAGGGGAGATGTGGACTCCTCCTTGACCCCCCAATGTTTTTTTCCTTCTCCTTCTACAGCTCTACGGGGTCGGAGGAGACCTGTCCTTTCCACATCCCCCGTGTCACGGCACTCAAGCTCTAGGATGGGGTCTGCCAGGTGCAGCAGTATGCCCTGCGCCCCAGAAGCTCCCGTCAAACTTGTGCCCAAGTGCTGCAGGGCTCAGGTCCCTCTGATGTCTCGCAGGGCTCCGGGTCCCTCTGACGTCTCTTTCTCAGTGCCCTTTGGGGTCTGAGCATCCTTCCCGGGCACGGGGCACGTGTCTCCACGCTCTGTGGGGCTCAGGATCCCTCTGACATCTCTTCCTTGGTGTCTTGCGGGGTCTGAGCATCCTTCCTGGGTGCGGGACACTCATCTCCATGCTCTGTGGGGCTCTGGGTCCCTCCGACATCTCTTCCTTGGCCATCTTTGGGATCTAAGCACCCATTGGGGTGCTTCCAGAGCCCAGCTGATCCAGGGCACAGCGGAACGTTCACTGCAGCTCCCACTAAACGTTGGCGTACCCCTCGCAGACCCCACAGGGAAAGACGCCCGCCCGCTGCCCCACAACGCTTCCCCACACCCGGGATGCCCAGGCAGTGGGCCCATTAAAATCCTCCCCAGCCAAACTCGCCATCGCCTGCTTTGTTTCGCCAACACCATCTCCCCAGTTTTCCACAGGGAACCGTTCACGTCCTTGGGGGGGGTGTGGGTGGCAGCCCTGAGGGGGAGCAGGCCCAGCTTACCCATTCCCACAGGAGGCCTCAGTGGTGCCAGGACTGGGGCTGGGGCCTGAGGCCTGTCCTGTGGGCCGTGCCAGGCCAGGCTGGGCCTTACCGGGCCACGGGCAAGGCCACAGCGGAGGGGACTCCGGGGCAGGGGGGAGGCCATGGCCAAGTGGGCTCCGGGACCAGGGTGGCGCAGCTGGGGAGATGCTGGGGGGGGGTCAAGGCCTCGAGGCCGCGGGTGGAGGGACAGCGGGGCCGGGGGAGGCCCTGGGGAGGCAGCTGAGGGACCACCGGGGCCAGGAGGGCTCCAGGGCCACCAGGGCTGAGTGGAGGCCGGGAGCTCCAGGGCTTGGGGGAGCTTTGAGGCCGGGGTCTGGGCCCACGGGACCCCCCCCCTCTCCAGCTCCCCCCGAGACCCAGCACATATAACCCCACTCCGACCGCAGGGCCCTGCTGACCCTCAGGCTGCTGCTAATTAGAGCTGAATTAGAGGTGGGGTCTCGGGGGGGCAAAGCTGCAGGTTAAGGGGGAGGATACACTGCAGGTAGTTTCTGCCTCCCCCTCCACCTCCCAAAGGAGTCCAGGCAGGGCCTTTGACTCTCAATTTATAGCACCGATGGCGTTACGGTGCGAAATGCCCACTTTTCGTTCATATCCTTCACCCCCTGATTTCAAAGCGCTTTGTCCAACCAGCAAACTATTTACAAAATCTGCACAAGAGTTAGTGGATCAGCCCTTTCCAACCGAATGAGGATTTCCCAGCATTTCCCTGTCTGAAATGCTCTCTGTTTGCTAACCAACAAAGAAATGCCCCATTTTTATGCATTATTAAAAAGCTATTGCTACCCACAGCCAGCAATATTGCGTAAACCACCTGTTTTATGCATTATTTATGTTACTGCTGCCTGGAGCCAGTTGGTTTCACGCAGTATTTGCCTGCAGAGGTCAGCATTGCAAAGGCTTTTTGCGAAGGGATTTGGGGCGCTGAAGCCCAAAGGAGAATTTCTGCAGGAACCTCCGTGCCCAGGGCTGTCCTCAGCCCATCTGGAAACTATCCGGTGGTGTCACCTGCAAAAATCAGCGTTAAAAATGGAGTACTTTGTGGTGATCACAGGAAGGTTGGTGGTGGGGAGAGGCAGGGGTGGGGAGAAGTGATGTGTGTACCAGGGATTCAATCAGAAAATACATCCATGACGCTTATGCTCCCAGCTGGGTGTATTTTGAAGTCTTACAATTATGAAATGTTGAAGTAATTAAAAGGAAAGGTCTGCCCTATTTTTATAAGCCACTCTCAACAGTAGTAATATATTTTAAATAAAATATCCACTACGTGGTGCAGAAGAGCAAAGAGATTATCTACTTTAAATGGTAAGTAACATAAATGCAATAATATTTGTTTAGCAGATCCATTGATCAAAAAATGATGCAGGTTTGCAAACAAACAAGCTGAATTCAGCTGGCTCCTCTTCCTAAAGTTATTTCTTGTAGCTGGGTCACAATAAATAACAGGCAAGCACAGAGATAAGTAATGAATAACAGAGGAATTTGCCCCAAAATAGATGCGTATTATAAATATGCATTGTCACCACTGCAGTATCTCTGTGCCCTGCCTGGGAGGTAGATGCATTAAAAATGTGAGTGGTTGCATCTCTGAGTTAATAGTAAATCACCACCAAAGAATCCCGAAAAACCAATTGGACAGCACTCCAGTTTTGGGGCGGGGGAGGACAAGCTGGATAATGATTCCTTACCCAAAGCAAGATCATGGTTTATGATTAATGTGCAAGCCCTCCCCAAAGGGGCCCCCTCGCTTAGGCCAACACACCTTCCCTCAGCTTGATTACTCGTATTGATAAATTAAAGACTGAAATTAGCTCATTTCCAGCTCTTGGATGTGTTGTTTTGGTTTTTTTTTTTTATGAAAAGTGTTTATCTCCTCCTTTGGAGGTTTTTTTTTTTCTATCTCAGTTTGTTTGGGATCCATGTTCTGTGCACTGACAAGCACTTAACTAAACCGATGTTGATTAAACCACTTCTGAAAGCCTTCCCTCTTGAAATTCAACTCCTGTGACACCTCACTCAGCACACTTTCCTCACGCTCTACCTACTGGCCCCGAGAATGTCTATAATTAATATATATAAGATCAATAATTCAAAGGGCTGGAGGGCAGCAGTGCTGTCCGCTCTCCCTTGCTGGGTTGGGTCTGCAGTGGAGAGCCGGGAGCTCTGCTCAGCCCAGGTGCAGTTCCCTGCCGACACCTATTTCAAGACATAAATGGTTCTTCTCTATTCCCGGAACTAAGGAGAAATACAGGAAAAGCATTTGCAGCCAATTCTGCCAGAATCAGCCTATTCCTAGAATTAAACTAGTATCCAGACTTACTATTGTTATTTCATTTCCCTTTTTTTTCCCCCCCCTCACCATTTTTCAAGGGACGCCAACTTCCTTTTTTCTCCAGAAAAAGGATCTGCAACCTCATCCATCTGCTTTTCTCACCATCCCCTGAAAACAGCTCAGAAAGCTGAGAGACAAAACAGCTGCCATGAAGAGTTGGTCAAAACTTCATTCCCATCCCAGTCCCCAAAATGTTCATTTTAAAGCTATTTGTGCAGGAGGGATCCAGCGATTAGCAAGGCCCCAATTCTCAGCTTGATTTCATTCAATCTCAGCTGAGGAGGTGGCATAATTATATCAAACTTTTATTATTTTTTTTTTGAGCAACAGATTACCTAATGAATCCTTAGCAGAATAACCCAAGCTCCCAAACAGGCTAAGCTCTGTGAGTAATCTAGTCCCAGAGGCTTTGCTCCAGCTTCCTTTGTTTTTAAAACGACAAGCTCCTTGGATTGTAGATACCACAAAACTATTTTGGATGGAACAGATGTTTCAGGACAGAATATGGACAAGAAAACACCCTGGGAAAAATAAAGCGTGGTGTATTGTTAGTGCTAATTATTATTTGCTATTTAACGGCTGCGGATGGGGCTGTCCCACATGTGAATGATTTTCCCGACTCTCCCCCGTCTCAGGATAAACAGCCAGTCCTGACCTACTGCCATAAATGCAGTGTTTTTGTCCTGTTTCTGTACTTTAATCGTTATTTTCTCTCCAGAGACCCTTGGGGCTTGCTGAGAAATGAAACGGACTCAAAAAACAAGCCGGGGGCCAAGGTTGCTGCAGCTGCTGGGGAAAAGGGCACGTTAGGGTTCCGTAGTTCAACCAGGCGCAGCTTTGGGGGTAACTGTAGAGAGAAAAAACCCTCTTTGCCCATCGCTGGAGCAAAACGCTGCTGCCCAAGCTGGGGCTTGTCCTCCAGTGCTGCTCCCGCACGTGGCCTCGTAGTAAGGTTTATATTCAGCATTTTACAAACTATTTTCCTCTCAAATTGTCACTGGATAAAAAACTTTGCAGCCTGTGCTTGACACCTTTGGTTTTTTGCTTTTGGTGGCACAGAGATCACGCGATCCCAAGCCCCGAAAATCCTGTGGGCGTCTTCCCTTGCGATTCAAGCCCTCTGCACAGATTTAACAGGACTTTTTCTGCCCCAGCTTTCTCCAGGCAGGCTGCAAGCGTTCTTCACGTTGCGTTGGGAGTCGCTTTGGGAAAGTTAAGGAGATAAAATTAAGGAGAAATCCTTTAGGGGAGTTGTCAGCTCTGGCATCTCCGCTCAGCCCCTAAAGCTACCACACCTCAGCTCCAGGCTGTATTAACTAGATGGTCATATTGTGCATAATCTTTGCTTTGAAAAAAAAAAAAAATGCTAGTTGGGGGAAAAAAAACCCTCATTCCAAAACATTTCCTTCTCCACACTCCAGTCAAAACTCAACTTCCTTATCTATACACGGCTTTATTTCTTAAGGTAGCCATTCCCATGGCACAGTCTTGAGTCAGAAGCAGGAATTTGAATGTTACCTGGGTTTTTAAATCACATATTGGCTAAGGGTGAGTAAAAACCACCTGAGCCTCATCTGAGTAGATCACGCACTCGTCCTCCCGTGCATCCACCGCAAAAATACCTTGGGGAAGGTGCTACAAATTTCAGTTTTTCATAAATACAAACAGTTGCAATCTCAGCTGCCTTGAAGCTCCAGCTAAAAAACAGCTGTCATCCCTGGAGATAAAGCTCTTGGATGATCCCAAACATTACTTATTTACACCAGCTGAGAGAGAGCACGCAGCATTTAGACGGTGTTCCTCCGTTGCTTGCATCCCCTCCGCTCGCTGCCGAGGTAGCCATGGAGATGAGTGCGGAGAGCATCGTGCCCATGACAACTCCGCGTGAGCATCTTGAGCATCTTCAGAGCAGCCTCATCTCTTCCCAGGCTTTTTCTCGCTCCAGACGGCGATTATTGGCTTGTTCTTGCTCCCACACAGGC